TACCATCTCAACTGTCTCCTCTATAATGCATCCTCAAAGTGTCTTTTTGTCATACCAGAAATATTGTAGGTGATAACTTATCTTTCTTTCTCTATTCAGCCTGGAAATATGTACATGGGCACTGTTTACCTTGTCAGGAAGAATCAGCTCTTGCATGAGAAAAGGAAGATAAGAAAGCACCAAGTGAGGTCAACCATGGCCATATTCTTCAGTGCTAGATGTAGACAGGCAGGCATGAAAAACTAAGAATAGATCTCCTGTAAATAGACCTTGGAAAATGTACATACAGAATGCAAATGAAGAAGGAAAATACAGTGCATTTTTTCCTTTATCAAATTGGCAAAGCTGTTTTTCAAAGACATCAAAATATTCAATTTTGGTGAGATTGCAGTAAAAATGCTCACTGCATTTGTTTGCACAGGCTTTTTAGAGGGCAATTTATCATCATGTTTCAAAAGTCTTCAAAGGGCATGCCCTTTGAAACAAGCCAATCCACTTTTGGAAATGTATTCTAAGGAAATCATGCACCTGCACAAATATTTTGTTATGAGGACGCTCATCGCAGCATTTATAATAGTGAAAATGGAAATAATGAAAGGGCAATACAGCATAATTAAGTAATGTATGATCTATTACACAATGAAATACTATCTAGGCTAAACTGATTTATTAGATATATATTTATATGCGAAGTTATATTTTAAATTTAAAAAACAAGTTAAAAATTAATGTATTAAATATAATTTGTTATACATACTGAATGAATTTGATATATTTGAAGTCCCGAAAGTTGTAGATATAAGTTGTTCAATAGGATGTATGGTATAGGATTCAAATTTTTCTTTACCTTCTTATATTTGCATTAAAATTTCTCTATTATAAACAAGAACTCTCTATTAGGAAAACAAGCTTATATTAAACTTAAACAATTGCTTAGGAACTCAACAGGACTACAGGTATAGACATAGAATCTAGCCCTACCTACCTGATGAACACCACCATGTCCCCACTTCTCTTCCTGCTGTCTTCTAACCCCTTTTTCATACATTGGCTCCTTTACTTGGCCATCTGTGGCACTGTGTAGTTACATTACATGAAATTTTAGAAGCTTTTTGATAAGTAGTCTATAGGAAGACACATTACTAAGAAAATGAAACCACAGACAGGAGAGATTTGTTTTTATTTGTATCGCAAATAGTCAGAATTTTTGACTTCTTTAGGTATTATGAGAATCATAGCTAATAAGTGAGCTCTGGCCAGTGTTCATACTGAGGAAAGGACAATGGTTTCATAAATTATATTTCTTCTTTGATGGGTAGTCCTACACTGTTTATTTATACAAGAGTTTTCAGCTCAGCAGTAAAAATATGCTTATTTCACCAATATCTTGAAATGAATTAAATTTCCTCTTCCGGAGCAAGTCTCAAAAGTTTTTGAGGCCACAATGCCTATAAAGCAATTAGTTTATTTACAGTTTCAGAATAGAAGTTTAAAGTTAAGTACACTTTATAAATTAACTTGTCTTTACTTAAAATATTAAGTGTTGGGATCTCAAACCAAGTGATAGCAAATTATTTGGATTCTGCTGCCGACTTCTCCTATTCTTGCATTTATTTAAAAAACATTTGTGTCCCTAAAGGATAACATAACTCAGTTTTGCATTAAGAATGTGGTGTAGTGTTCTCTGTCCCTTCTATTTTCTCATCTAGAATTAATTTAAATGAGTATCAGCCTACCTCGCCACAAGATCTTATCTGTTTATGCCCACTAAGGCTAACTGGACTAATTCCATTATGTCATCATTGACACTACATTGGTTATCTTACTGGAGAGTGGAATTCTTTGTTTGTGAAAGACTCTGTGCTGGCACAATGGAGGACACAAAACACCACCATATAGTCAGTACTTGCAGGTGGGGGCCCACAAATTAGCATGACATGGAGCAAAGAAAGTCAAAACAGGAAGTTCAGAGAGAGAGAGATACCACTTTGAAGCTGAGGTGGAATGTTGATCATCTATGAGGCAACTATTGAGGTGCACATTAGCTCTGCTATTTTTTCAGGCATGTGACACTGGGCACATTATTTTGCCTCTCTGATTCCTCAGTTATAAAATAAGGGTAATATGTCCATCCTGCAGAGGATTGCTCCAGGAATTAGATCAAAATGAGAAAAATAGAGAATTTTAAGCTGGCACACACTGTGTATTCAGCCCATGTTAACACCATGAATACCCCTAGAGATAGATCATGAGGAGAGTGAAGATGAACTTCTGGTTACAGGGCACACCATTGCAGCTGACCCTGCTCCTGTCTTTTCCATCATCACTGAATGTCTCCCTTGGGAAGCACCAGCAGTGGTATTATTGGTAGAAGTAGAGAAAGATGAAGAGAACAAAGAGGAGGAGGAAGCAGCAGGAAGCTTGTAGGGATAAGGAGCAAGGAAGAAGATTGGTTTTCTTGAATAACTGTACTTATTTTCAGCAGTTGAAATGGTATGGTCCTGGGAGGCATTTTTGAAAGGATTTCTGCAATCTGGACCATGGGAAGAGATGTCAAATTCCTCTTTCATATTCTCACATGATATCACTAGGTGGTTTTAGAGCTGGAAGCTTTCTGAACCCCAAGAGGCTTCTCAGCATATATTCATCTTCACCCAACAATTATGATGGCTGCATGTTCCCTGTGGCTGAGGCTCCTCTGGAATTATCTCCACCTTAATCCCTCTCTCCCACAAATCCATCTCTTTATAGTGCTCCCAGACCGGATGACCTACTGTTGGCCTCACATATCTTGCAAGGACAATATAAAAATCCGATGCCATGGAAACAAATTTGGTGACTTAATTCAGTAGATCTCAATTCTGGCTGCAAATTAGAATCACTGGTACGTTAGGTTTGAATCCCTCAGGATTTTGATTAAATTTATCCAGGTTGAGAGCCTGACCTGGGTCATTTTAAAAGATCCCCAGGTGATTCTTAATTTGCAGTTAAGGTCGAGCATCACTAATTTAATTGAATATTTTTTGAGAGGAAAACCTCAGTCATAATTTGCCTATTAATTCTAACATAAGAAAAAGAGACATTGGAGAAAATTAAAGGGCATGAGCATTCTTATTTGTTGGAATTTTTTTCTTTTAAAATAGCTAGGCCAAAAAGGCAGCATTCCTGACCAAGGCTATTCATATATAGACAATTTTTGTCAAAAGGCTTGGCTTATTATTTGTAGCTTTATATAAAACTTGAGAAGCTCCAAGGATTTGAAACTGGTCCCAGGATTAGAAATTTGAAGGGATTTGTATTGAATTATGAAATAAAAACACTGTCTAAGTTTAGCAAAAGTAATTTCCCAATGAGTTATTGCTCAATATTATCTTTACACATTAAATTTTGGCTCCCCTAAAAGAGAAAGCAGAAGAGCTTTATGGATTTTTTTTTTTTTAATATATAAGGCAGGCTCTGGATACACACACAGACAAAACAGCTCTGGCTTGCCTTAAAAGGAGACACAGATCATGTATTTATTTTGTCCCTTCAGTTTCACAGATGAGTAAACCAAGAGCTGGAGAGTAGAAGCAGTTGCCTAAGAATGCAGAGCCGAGGCCCAGTTTTCCTCTTCTACTCCATTTCTTCATATTGCTGAGTTAAACATTTAATGTTTATTAAGTGTCTAGTTTGTGCTTGATTCTAGACAGACACCTCTTACTGAAACAGAGGGGCAGGGTAGGAGCTTGGGTACATGAAATAGAGAAAAAAATTCAGGAAATAATTTGAGCCATAATTTATCCACAGATCTTCTATTGGTCATGCCAGGTGCATGATCTTGGCAGGGCTGATAGTGAAATTAGTGATGCTAAGTTACCTGGGCTGTTGACTCCTCTGATAAAGAAGATCTGATTCAGCACCAGCCATTGCAAGGTTGGAGACGCAGAATCTGGTAAACATCCCTGTGTTTGGTCAGGAGGCACATCTAATGCATAAAGAAATTGAGCCTGCTGGTAAAGTATCTCCAACTTTTTTTCAAAGTAAGACTCTGCCAAGTAGCTACCTTTGGGGAGAAGATTGCTGGTATTGTATAGGACACTTGTTATATTTGAATTTCAGCTACATAATACATCCTTTTTAAGCGTAAGTATGTTACATTTTGACCCCAAATGCTTAAACTAATAAAAGTATTTGTTGTATATCTGGAGTTCAAATATAACTGGATGTCTTCTATTTTTCCCCCTAATTTTAACAGCCCTTTCTGGAACCCCCTTTCTCCCATAATCTGCCTTGATTTCCTTTCTTCTGTGTTCACATTGGAGTTAGCTCCTGGTACCACTACTATTCTCCTCTCATTTTATTATATAGGTTATAGGACTCTAGTAGCCTAGTACAAATAGCTTGTCAGAGAAGTTCATTAAATGGATGATGAAAGCAACAAATGTGTTGAACACAGGGTATGACTGGTTCCTGCTTTGAGAGAGCAATTCTATGTGCAGCTGATACTGGTGTTATATGAAAACATTCTGGGGCCAGTCTAATCTTTGTGGTTAAGAACCACCCTCTATATTTGGGGTTTCTAGAAACACAGTGAAGCCGCTTGTGGTGCTTTCCACTTTATGGTAGGTCTGGGGGTGGGTTGTTAGGCCAACAGTGGGAAGAGTTCCATCTTATAGCAGGTGCTTCTTTAACTGCTGTTGAGATGTCCGAAGATTTTGTCTGCCTGCTGTACCTCAAAGCTGCAAACCATTGAATCAGATCCTGTGGGGGGTAATGAGTGCAAGGTTTCCTTTGACTTTGTGTTCTTGGTGTATGAAAATGTCAGAAATTGATAAATTTTAGAAAAGGGAACTGGAGACAAAAAATAACTAACCTTGAATGCTGACTTATTCCTATTGTCATGAGCAATTCATGATTCACCTGTGTGTTGATACCTCCTGGAAAGCCTATGTCATGTCTCCATTTGTGACTTCACAAATTGGTTCTGGCTCTTCATTTTATGAGTGTTTAAGTACAGGGTTCACAGAGTTGACTAGTATTATATGGGGGAAAAGATACAAATGTGAGTACCTTATGTGAGTGTAGAATGAAGTGATTTAATGTATGTAAAGTACTAAGCATGGTGTCTGGCCTGAGGAAATGGTAGTTGAAGGTTAATGAGGATATTTTAGGTACATCAGGTACACATTGAGGCAGGTACACTATAGGTTGAATAACTCGGGCACACATGATTGGTATAAGGCAAGACTAGAACTCACTTCTGATCTTTAATCCCATCTCTGACCCATACCAACAGTGAGAGTTCCTGAATCTCCTGATTCTAGAGTTTTTGTTGTAAATGAGAGGAATCAGTTATGGAACTATTCTTGTAACACACAAGCACAGACCTTCATGTGTGGCAGGGCTAAGAACATAGACATCCTTTTGTTTTCTATTTTTTAGATCTAGGAACTCATGTCTATCCCTGTCCTTCTTACCATTTAGTATGGAATAATGCCAGAAAAATTAGCCAACACTGGACTCCAAGATTTTTACAGCTAAGATTAGAAGTCTGGTGGGCAGAATCAAGATTGAGCCTGTTCATGCTTAGTTCATCATGTGGCCACTGCTCTGTCATACTGCATCTTGCCTGTTGGGTCTGAAGACAAAGAATGGAACATCAATAATTAAAGGTACAATCATAGCTAAAGCTTCCGTTAGTTATTTTTTTCCAACTCTGACATTTTATGAGTCAACAAAGCCAAAGCCATCAATATGAAGCAGATTATTTTTAGCAGTTTCTTAACCAGTGTGCTCTAGCTTTAAATTAAACATTGACGTTGGTTATTATTAAAATTCCAAAAATTCTGGGCAGAGAGGAACCCATGATAGTACAGTAAACACTAGGCTTTCATTACCTTGTTTTGAAAAACACCAACTCATTTGCTGCTCCAACCAAATACAACTGCATAAAACTAATGGACTGTGGATTTCCTAAGGATTAGTTGTTCAAGGTCAGAATCTGAATGTGTAAGTATAGTTTGCATGATTGAATATTACTGCAGACTTCAACCTTTTTAGGTTTGCAGTATTTTAGCACTGATATTATCTTACGATCATTTGATTCTACAGTTAGTCCCATTTTCTGATTATCAACTCAAAACACATGGCATTAAAATTTCAACATTTTAATTTTGCTTTGAAAATTTTGCTACATATTTTGTAATATAACTAGGACAGCCTCTGTGGCATGAAACTAAGGTTGGAAATCAATTCCTTTGGTGTGATGTAGTGGAAAGAACACTGGTCTTGAAGCCAGGAGACCTGATTTCTGCTACTTGCTAGATGTGTGTCCTTGGGCAAATAATTCAGTATATTTAGCACATACACTGCATTTAACAAATAATTTAGGATATTAAACTTATGTTTTATATGAACATAAGTTTGGAGTTGGGATATTACTGCTATAGCAATATACTGCTAGCGGTAATATCCAAACTCCAAACTGTCTAATATACCCATGGGAACGCTTCAGGAGCACCCAGGGAAGATGAGGAGAGGACTGTAAAGTAGAAATCTCTCTCTCTACCTCAACCCACTGCCATGTTACCCCTGAGGTAAAACTAAGGTTTTTTCCCAGTAAAGAGATCCTACTCAGTGGGGCTGGAGCCTTCCCATTCATTCAGAATAATGTAGTTAAGTAGGATCTGAGGCTCTGGTGTCAAAGGCCCAACCTGAAAATCTCCCTCAAGTTCTTACTATGTGCCTTGAGCAAGTCACTTCATGTGTCTATGCTTCATTTATCTTCTCTGTAGGTCTTATTGTCATTTCCTTTTTACAAACGAGGAAACTGAAGTACAGATGAGGTATTGAGATGAGAAAGATGAAGGTTCTTACCTTATAGGGTTTTATAAGGATCAGTTAGGACATACATCACAACAAATCACAATGCCTAAAACAGTAAATGGCAAATACAAATAATTTTAAATTAATTAATTTATTAAATATCTACTGTACATCTATGATATGTCAGTCATTTCTGTGGTTGGAATATGGTTTGAGTGTGTCCTCCTGTTCATGTGTTAGAAACTTGGTCCATAGTGTGGTGAAGAGGTGGAGCCTAGTCCTTACTTAGGTCATTGAAGCTATGTCTTGAGAAAGGATTAATAGTTTTCTTGGGAGCTTAATCTCTCTCAGGCACCCTGTCCTGTTATCTTCCCCTCTTGAATGCATTCCTGCTATTGAGATGCTATCTGTCATGAGGTGCTCATCATAGTGCAGCTGATTTACCATGCTTTTGAACTCCTAGAACTGTGAGTTAAATAACTTTTTCTCTAAAATTTACCCAGCCTTAGGCATTTCATTATAGTAACGGAAAGTGGATTCATATCATCACTGTTATCTTCCAGAGATTTGGAATGATACAACATGGTCCCAATTTTAAGAACAACGTGGGCTAGTAGGAGACAGAAACCACAGAGACAACCAGGTAAAAATACTTGTAAAGCACCATGATAACTTGTGCTACAATAAAAGGAGTCGTATATACAGACAGTAGGAAGAATGGCTGTAAAAGGGACAACTCTCAAAACGTATTTGAGAACTTCTTGATGAGTTAGAAGGATTGGAAGAAGGATTGGAAGATGACAGCAGGAGAAAAGGAAGAAAAGAACTATCAATAATTGTGGTTATGCATATTGCTCCAATTTATAAGATCTCTCCTAAAGTAGACTTTAAGCATGCTACTGGGATGTGTCTACACCCACCTCAGCCCCTCCCTTATATCATTCCTGGTTTGTCCCATCCAATTGTGAGGAATTATAATGTATATCCTCTTGCCAAGTCAAGGCTGAGAGTTTATGTCTGCTTATGTGTTTCGGTTATTCATATAACGCAGGGATTTCAGATATTTTTTTAAACAAATCCCTTGGTGGGTGGGGAAACAGAGTAGGAAAAAACTATCAGACCCATCGTCTTTTCTAATAACATTTAAACCCATGCAAGTCATCATTTTGAAAGCCAAGTGAGGTCCTCAAACCAAAATATTTGCTGTTTTTAGTCAGAGAAAGAAGTGAGCACAATTCAGGCCTTAAAAAAAAAAAAAGACAAAGCTAGAAAGCACAGAGAGAAAGAAAAATACATGTAGGAACTAAAATCTCCATGCTGAGAAATGAGCCCAAATCAAGAAGCATTTCTTCTCCTGTGGGCTCTCACTTCTTTCCTTATATGGCTCATCAAATTTCCCAGACATTCTGAATGCTTGAAGAGGGGTTAAGACTTTTTTTTTTTTTTAAAAATTAATGTTATCTAGTCATATAGCATAATTATTGTTTCTGGCACAAATTGACTTTAAATAATATGATGCAAAAATCAGTGATGAACAAGTGAACAAAAGGAGAGGGAAACACAGGTGGACATCCAAGAGGCTTTTTGAATCGTCTCTAAATCCACAGGTTTTATAAGGGACAGAGACTGTGATTTCTGCTCCCTTTATAGCCACCAGAATCTACAGTAAAGCACCACTAAAGGAATGCTAATATATTCTGTGTGTGCCAGTAAATGACAATGTAAGCATGAATTGAGGATCAGCCAGTCCCCTGATTCCCTAGGCTGCCTTGAATTAGGTCTCTGATGTATGCAGTCTCTCTCTGACTCCTCTTTCTCTTTCTCTGAAAACGCAGGTTTTTTTTTTTTTTTAATATGAGTATCATTAAAATTGCAAAACTCATCCCAAATTTGCTTGTCAAAGTTTCCTTGAGCCTTTCTCTTCTTTCTCTTGACTGAGATTCTTTATATCTGTCAGCTCAAGAAGCCACCAGCAGGCACCACCTCTGTGTTTGGCTGCAAGCTGGACATTGAAGGTAGTAGAAAGGAGTGGAAGACTCAGTTTCTGCTTTTCAGGATTTTGAAACCTTGTTTGAGGATAAAGGATACCAACTTAACAACTAGGGAACAGTTAGCAGGCACTGTGATAAAGGGCTAAATTGTGTTTTAGAGTTCAGAGAAAGGACAAATTGTCATGGAGTAGAATGAAATGTTACTCACTTTTCTTTACCTTTATACCTCCTGGAAACCTTTCCTGGTGGATCCAATTCATGCAAATAGCAGTGTTTGCTTTATACACTTAGGTTTTAAATTTAATGGTATTTTATCACACAATAGAAATTCTCAAGTCTCCATGGAAACTGTAGTAAAAGGGTCTGTGTTGGGGTGAAAGGAGCTTAATTTCAGTCACTGCCCCCCAAAACTGGAGTATAAAATTCTACACATTTTAAACACCCTTTTACATATTCTTTTTCAGTGAAAAAAAATATTCCAATGCTTTCTCTATGGTTATATGTGCCTCAAGGTTTATAAGCCCTTTGAATGCAGGAGTGAGTTCACTTGGGCTGCTGTAATGAAATAAAACAGACTGAGTTATTTACAAACAATAGAAATGCATTCCTTATATTTCTTGAGGCTGGAAAGTCCTAGATATTGGCATAGCAGGTGTGGTATCTGGTAGGGTCCTGGTCTCTCTCCCAAAATGACAGTGGGTGAAGCTTCCTGTAGGGTTGTGCCCTCATGTGATGAAAGAGTGAGAAAGAGCAGAAGATTCTCTCTGAAGCCTCTTATATTAAAGGTGTTGATTCATTCATGAGGGCCCCAAGTCATTTCCCAACAGGTCCCATCTCTTAGGACAACCAGAAAAAAAGTTTGAATTTCAACACATGGGTTTTGGGTGGCATTTAGACCATAGTAAGTGGCAGCCATTTATTTATTTTTTGTTCTCAATTTTTATATTGAAAGATATAACAGAATATTTAGTTGAATTATCAATAGTATTTAAATTACCTATATATCCAGAAAAATTGAGCAACTCCCTTTTTCAATGTCAAAGAAATAGTAATTCTTCAAATCCTCCAACTCTTCTTGACTTTTATTTGCTCTTTACTTTTGCCTTGGTTATACTAAAACCTTCCTATTGGTTCATACAACTGCATTATTTAGAGATTTGTTCTTTGTGTTAAATACTGCCTACTTCCCAGTGTCCTTTGATTAAAGACAACAGTTTATGTGCTAATGATTTATGAAATATCTGTCATTCAATTGTTGATGCATTTCAGATTCTTTGATATAAAAGGCCCCACAAGCAATGAATCCTCATTCATAGCTAGCTATTGTTCATGGTCTATGTTCTGCATTGTCCTGCCTTACAGTTTTTACTCCATTTCTCAACTTCTCCTGATCTCAGCTACTTCTTATTTCTTCTCTTATGATCCTATATTTCAGATTCTAGGAGGTGGTGGGAAGTTTTAGATTGGCAAACAGGGAGTTTGCTTGCTTGGTTGCTTATACACCTTGATTCTGCTGTATGATCTTGGGCAAGTTATTTAACTTGTCTATTACTGTCTCATAGTGTTGATAGAAGAGTAAATAAGACATGAAGTATATGTTTCTGCCCTCTGCTGCCATTGGCTTTCTTCCCTGCCTCAGATTCATATCTGTTCCATGGACCTGTCTTATCTTGTACTTGTCCTTAGAACCTTCCCTAAAATCACTTGAAGTTCTCCTTAACATTATCACTTTTTTTTTCTAGGTAAAATGAGAAAGTCTGTACTCAAGATCACAAAGGAGTGAGAAAGATTCATTAGTACTTGAGGAATGTTGCAGACATTTAGAAGTTCATACCATAATTGTCATTGTAACCTATAGGTATGATGCTTCTGTTCTGCTTTTTCCCTGATAAGAAAAGCCCTTTGTAATGAATTACAGAAATGGAGTGGGTTTTAACTTAAAGAAGAATTTAGGGTGCTTTGGCAAAAGCTACATATATAAAAAACAGATATACTGTTACTTTATTTCTCCTTAATCTTTTGAAGATATTGGTCATTTCAATTCCCAATCAAAACTGTGACCAATCTTGGAGTCGCCCCATGTCTTGAAGTTTGGTAAATATTTAACATTACTATTATATCTTTCTAATTTTATAGCACTTGACAAAATAATTCTTAATACCATTGAATAAATGACCAGACATCAATCTGAATGGCCTCTCAATCTGAAGAAATAATGACAAAGAAACACAAAAAAAAAGACTGTGGGGAATTTCATGGGTTAGGACCTATAAATATAGGGGTACCCTTAAAAACTTGAGTGGCTCAACTCTGGAGGCTGGGGCTAGACCTTCAGTTGTCACATGGGAGAGGTAAAAAGAGAAGGGTGTTCAATCAGATTCTGAGAGTCGGCCTAACTGGAATCTAACTTTGCTGATGTATATGGTAGTCTGGGTAGAACAATTGTTCTTTTACTTAAAAGTAATATTTTTTTTTTGTTATTTTTGTTTAAAGAGCAAGTGGTTGGGATTGACAATTTTTGCCTGTGAAAAAAACATAAAGTTAAACAAGGTGGTCCGGATAGGAGGGAAAAAAATATCAAAATGATGTCCCAGTCCCTTAGATCTAAAGGCCCATGATAATTTCTGGGATGGCCATGAACAGGTATCCACAGCAACAAAAAGCTAGGGCTAGGATTAAATCCAGGGCTCTAAGACTCCACACACTGTCCTCTTACTATCATGCTACATTGCCTCATTTTGAAGTTGATTCCGTAGCTGGGAGCAACCTCAGTTAACTTCCTGTTAAACACTGGATTTCAAAGAGGGGGATACTTGGGCTTAGAAACATCTGAAAAATTCACTTTCTAAAATGTCTAGTCCACTTCTGGTGAGGAAGATCTAACAACTTTTTGACTAAGAGGCTTAAAGGTGATCCCTTTGTATTAATAGTTAAAGTTTCCATAATTAATTTCTTATGTATTTTTCATGGATATCTGGTCCCTTCAAGTAGATTTGATCCTGTGCATAATTTATGAGAAATATTTTTGAATGTTTTAATGTGTTTTTCACTTTTACTTCTCAGTGTATATGACTTTCCTCAAGTAAGCCCAAGAGTTATATCTATCATATGTTTCAACAGGAATGGAAATGTAACATTTGGCTTCTGACACCCCAATTAGGGTTTCTCAAAGCTGTGACAACACAATAGTGTTCCAGTCTAAGTTTGTTGAAAGAAACTAACATATTAAAATTTTAAATTCTCATATTCCCTCCTTCCTGTGTTTTAATGTATTAAGACCCTGGCCTGATAGGCTTGATTATAGAATTTTAGTAATAGAAATTTTGAGTATTCAGGAAATGCAAAGTGGAAATAATTACTCATATCAGCTAGAGGAATTTGGGGGGTAGAAGTAGCAGATGAGCAGTTCTGTGTCTCATTCTCTACCCTTTGAAATGAAATATTAGAGGTGAAGTGTTAGAGGACATGAAGGGAGTATTGGGGGCTGAGAGATTTTTTCTTTTTTCTGCTTAAGATTCTGAAAGGTAGTTTTCTTATAGTTTGTCTAACCCACTTGAACCTTGGCATCACAGGATGGTTGAGCAGAAGGAAAGCCGGAGCATAGCCCTCCCTATTTACCTGTATTTCCCATGAAGAATTTATGATATGTCCTTGAGATAGGATGTGGAGGTTATTTGAGATTCTGTCTGGAAAATTTGCCAGAAGTTCTTCCTGAGAAAAAGTGGTCCTGTAATTGATTACTGCCTGGGAATTTCATCTGACCTGCAGTGGAGTCTACAGCATCATCTGTAGCCAGGTCATCAAGGAAAATACCAAATGATGACCAGGCAAAATGAACAGACCATGAGTTTCACCAGCTGTGAACTTCAGCATTGAATGTCAATAGCACATTTGGGAATAAGACTAGTCTCATTCCAGTGTCAATTAGTTCAGTGAACAATCATACCAGCTACTATGCAACAGCTAGGAACAAGAATCCAGACGGTATCCAGCCCATGCACTTAA